GGGGGGATCTCGGCCCGGAATATGATTATGAAGCATTGCATTCCACCGGGTGTACAGGGCAGACCGAGGGGTCCACACCTTCAATAATGCCTGAACTCCTGATTTCAAGATTTCTCACAGACTTCATGGGCTTTCAATACGTTTTTCCGCGTTTTTCATGGGAGTTATGCGAGACTTGTGTGATTTCGGGAGGTATTATCAAGAGACTCCCATACCGGGTTTTGTAAGTGGAGACCGTACCTCTCCTCTCCCCTCGGGGGCAGGCAGTGGAAGATCCTCAGCACCACTATGATGATCGCCTTGGGGCCAGAATGACACGATAGGAACCTATACTCTCCCGAAATAGAAAACAGCACTGCCATATTTTTCACCAACTTCACGCTCTGTGATTCGAATCAATTTAATGAAAGTAGTCGCCAGTAGCCATAATAAAAAGTGCTGCACCGCGATGCGCGGCACGTACCGCACGGCAGCGGAGGCCAGGAGGTCGGGTCAGGCGGTCCGCGCCGCCGTGGGGGCCTTGGCCCGGGCCGCGGTCCGCGCGCGCCGCGCCGAGCACGGGGGTATCGACGGGCCGCGGGGGCGGGGCGGACGGGGTGGGGCCGTCACCCCGTCGTGCTCGGGGGGTGAGCCTGGAGGGGGAGGAGAGTCATCACAACACAAGCCCGGGGGTGAGACAGGAGGGGGAGGAGAGTCATCACAACACAAGCCCGGGGGCTCGCGTGACGTGACGGTGCCAGCCGGCGGGACGAATCAGCCGCGGCCGCCCTCACGACATCCATTGCGTCGCAGCAGAGCCCGCCCCGCCCCGCCTCACCCCGCCCCGGGCCCGTCGGGCCGGTGGGCCCATCCCGTAAATGTAATTGACCTGGTGGACACGGGCCACGCCGCCGAGCAGCGCCCCCCAAGGTCGAGGGACGAGGCGGCGCAGCCGTATGCACGTGCTTCAGATATTAATTTGATTCGCCTTCCGATCCGATGCGATGCTGGCCCCTCCGGGGCCGTTATCGTAAAACCTGAGCGGCAGCGCCGAGAGCGGCGACATGTCTTCACGCTCCTGACCCGGGCCGGACCACTTGACCAGCCCCGCCGGAGAAAAAGATATTTTGAAAGAAGTTAAGAGGAAAGTTATTACGCCGATCCCCTTCTGAGAGCACACATGGGGCCGCACGCCCGAGGAGGAGGTGAGGTCAAGGATGGCGGCGTACAGGCGAGCGAGCGACCTTAGGACCTTCTTCAGCTTCCCTTCGACAAAGATTCTCATACCGATGCAGCTCCTTGTTTGGGCCAGACGATCCCGGGGCAGGGCTATGGTGCTAAGCGGCTGCATTGCCTCCTCCCTGGCTCCCTGGGTGGGGGCGGGAGGTGGGCTCGCTCTCGCTTTGCTCTCTCGTTCAACGGCATCTGGCATCTGTCCTTGGGATACCAAGCTCCGAAGGCCGGCACAAGGTCGAGGTCACTGCGGGCTTCTTACCTCGTTCAAGACAGATTTGCGCCAAAACGAGGCACTTTTATGGCGTACCGTTCGTTGCCTGCATACAGGGGTTTTGTAGTCCTACCAGGTGGCTTACTAAGATCCCCCCCCCCCCTCTCCGAAGTCGACTCAAGTTCTTGTCTACGCGGCATCGGTACGACCTAATCTTCTTCTTGCTGCTTACTCGAAATAGTCACACCTCAGCGGGCGGCCTCGGCCTTGGCGACACATCGCTTACTCCATGCAAATCCCTTTCAGAGGCGATGCCTCACGCCACCCGCCTCTGTGGCACTCGATACCTTCCCCGCGGGCCGTGATCGGCTTGTGCTCGGCCACCCGACGCTCTGCAGTGCAGGCAGCGCGCTGGCCCGCGGGGTACAGTCCGCTCCCGTTGAAATGCAACTGGAGAACCCTCGCGGCTCGCACCGCAAAGCACACGACACTACCACCCGCCCCCTCCCGTGTTTCGTCAACGTGACCTGCCGTAATCCTCTCTGCAGACACTCGAAACACCTGCGCTCAGCACCGGTCGCACCAAACAGCCTCACGCCAGCGAGCTGGGCCCAGCCAAATCAGCGCAGCCAGTTTTATTTCTGCTTCGATTCGCGATGCGACCCGAGCGTGGATATGGATACGCAGCGTAGGGGTGACCCGGCGCCGCCGCCTATGACCTCAGGGTATCTTAGGTCCATGACGACGATGATACGACCGCCGATCATCGTCAGCGATAAGGTGAAAGTAGCGATACGACCCTGCAGCAGCGCCGACTTGCGTCAGGCAGGCGTATTAAACACCGGACACTCGCCAAATTGCATGCATGCGTCTTTTTCACCACGGGGTTTATCAAGAGCAGTGCACCGATAATAAACAAATGTAGCAAATTAAACATTAATTGTTGTGCACTACTTAAAATTTGCTAAAACTGGATACTTTGTAGAGTCGAACATTTCGGAAAAGTTTTAGACAACTGCACACATTTGGTGTGTAACTTGAGACACTTATTTGGTGTTGTTCAGCCCCCTGAACTCTAGCATAGATAGGACCTGCATCAGCCTATGGTTGTGCAAAATTTGCAACACTTACGAAACGGTTAAATTTTGCACACATTGCAAGTCTGAAAGTCGCAACTGAAAAGTGTGCAAATAAGTTGCAGATGTGTTGATTTGTCTGACGGGATTAAGCCCGCCGCGCAGTTCTCACGTCATATTTTTCACGCCGACCTATGCGCTAATATTTCGCCTCTCGCCGCGGTGGCGTCCTCATCCATCAGGCTGGCGGTGCGGTGCGGCGCCGCATAGCCCCACAACAAGATGGATGCGTTATTGAGCGGCACTGAGCGGGGTGCTGAGCGGGGCGCCCCGCCACGCCCCGCCCCGCCCCGCCACGCCGTGTGCCACGGCACCCACCGCCCGCGCGCAGCAAGAAGAGATTTCAATCTGTCGTCTGCTTCATTATGACTGCCCCCCGCTACCTCTAGGCTACGACTTGCTTCTAGAGGCGGTGGGCGGTGGGTGGACGAGGACGGCAGCAGCGTCCGAAAATGAGGCGCCGGCAGAGAGCACGGCGGCGGCGCCCGCCCCCGCGGCGGTCGCTCCGCAAAGTTCACGGCCGGACGCGCTGCCCTGGTGTATTTGTCGCGCGCCACGCCGTGACTTGACTTACGGCCCGCCTCCCCCGCCGCCCCATGTTGATCTAGGTCTAGCCAGCCCAGCCTGCCTGCCCATCGCCGCCGTCGCCACCGCTGCCCCCCGGACCACGGCCGGGTCGCGGGCACAAAAGAATCGAGTTGAGCGTCGGCC